TCAATCGTGTTCTTAATATGTAAATAAACTAAATTTGTATCATAATTAAAATAAAATTTTCATGTAAATCTTGTTGTCTTTCAATTCATGTGTTCCCTTTATGAGCACGGCATGCTAGACCGGTGCTCTCTAGGACTTTAACTACTAACTGTACGTAATTGTAATTGTGTAGGAACGATGTCGGTCGTCATACGTGTTAAATTATAAGTATTTTAGTGAGGTTACGTGCATACGTCTCATAGTCATATACAAGTCTTTAGGGACAAATGACAATAGTAGGCATAACCTAGGCACTGCATTCGAGTTCCAGTTCTTATACGGTTACGTGTATTCGAAAGTATTGCATTATTAATGTTTCACTTAAAGCGTGATGTCAATCTGTATGATTAAGGCTGTTAACATGTAGCGTAAATTGAAGTCTACACGAGACGAATTATTGAATTCGTTGAGCTTTAGCAATCGTATTTAGATTTACCTTACACTAAAATATGCCACCAATTACTTAGTCAGGTCTCATTAATAAGTCATGCCTGCATCTAGTCATCATGACAAATATATCTACGCTCAGATAGAATAAGAAAGGTCTGGTAAGCAGGATGTTAAATATATTTAATGAAAAATAATAACAAGCAAATGTCTTTACGCAGTTGTTTGTCGTAGTAATTTGGGCAATGTCGAATCTCTGTGACCGGGTTGACTTACGTTACCGGGTATCTACAAATAAGTAGACAAAGTGTTTTTTAAATCGCTGAATTAAGAAAGAAGTAATATCAAAGTTAAACGCTTTATATTTGCCTACCTTTGCTGAAAATTGTTCATTCTCCTTTCTCATTCTTTGTTCATGACAGCATTCTTCAAAAGTTTTAGTCGTTCAACTATTGTACGAGTAATTAGAACAGGTTATGATAAGAGTTCAATTGTAAACCCTTCACAATGAACACTGTACATTTGGCTAAGCGCTATGTCCTTGGAATGTTAGTATACATTTGCAATGTTTAATGCCAACCATAGAAAATATGACGTTTTCCATGAAAATACAGCTTTGTTCAAATACTGGTGCTGTTGTGTTTCTAATAAAAGCAACTAGACTGTAAGCAAGCAACTAATAGGCACAAAGAGTAAGTCTCAGCTTTAATAAAGGCATATCCAGTTAACATAAAATGCAGTGTAATAGTGCACAAATGAAAAGACCATCGGGAAGTAGATAAGTGATATTTCAGTGACAGGTAAATTGAAAGATCTGCAACCTTACAATTCGTAAGACAACCTGACATGTAAGATCTCTCACAAATTTCTATAGGTCCTGTGGGGTACCATGGATGGTTTGGCGTCAATCGGAGCTTTGGAAGGATGAGTTACAAGTCCAAAAGGTAATAACCAACGGAACTGCAGTAGTATTTTCTAGCTGTTCGGCATTTTTCCTTTGATGCAGTTTCTTATCAACAGTTTGCAGTATTCAGAACATCACAAGTTGCTTACAGATAACTTGTTTAATAATAACTGCGTTAAATATATGAGCCATAAGTGCATCTTCCACATCTTTCATAGCCACAATTAAGTCATTAAGGATCTCAGAATATCTTAGTGATGTGAAACAAAATAATTATAAAGATTGATATAACCTATGTAATAGGTGTAGTAGTTGTATGACACAGCTGCTAGCTACTAATCAACAGAAAGCTGATACTCATTTTAAGTACTCTGACATTTGAGAAGGACTATTTATACTATTCTTCGAGACACGATGAACACTGATGTCAATATACTCTGATGCCATTTCATGCACTGAGCAATTAAGGCCTGCTGAAATTCCATGTGCAAATGTCAATTAAACTATTATCACATCTTCGCCCAAGCACTTTTAACTAGGAACTTCATCAAAATAAATATAATCACCAGGAAATTCAGCAGCCTGTCTCATTCATCGCATAATGTCGTCGATGTGTTATGGAATATTTCAGTCATCCCGGATGAGAACAGAAGTGTTTAACATGTTCAAAACACACATCTAACCTATGTCTGCATACTATTTCTCTTTCATAGACCAGATTCTCATAGATTCACTGGAATGACAACAGCCATTGCCTGAAGTATATTTACAACATTAAGATCTGAAACAACTCGCAAAAAAACAATCCCTCAACGCACTATAATGCAAATTATAGTCTTTCTACGCGAACTTTCTTAAAAAGGATGACTTCTTCATTGATAATTCGTCCGAGCTATAATATAAAATTTTACGGTCTACTAAGAACAAAATACAGCAAAATACTGTCATCGGGCTACAGAAGTCTAAAACTAGTCAAATATAATCTATTTCCAAACAAATAGGCGATTATAACGTCTGTTGCCGTGAACGAAGTAACAGATGGCATCGCGCGATAACCCCTGGTTATAGCCTATATCCTGACCCGTCTTTCTTGCGTCAGGACTATTAAATTCTCGACCAGTACATAACAACAAGTAACCTAGAAGGTGTGAAAACACACATAAACAACCAATCACGTCCAAGGTCATCAGGAGAGATGATTAATAAACTCGTGGAGAAATCTAAAAGCTTACTTCAAATTGAAGTATGCGCTGAAGATGTCACCCAGTAGGGTGATGAAAGCTTCGCAAATTAACCACCCAGCTCAGAGAACATAACCACATCAAAATCATCCACCTGAGCTACAAATCTTCTCTATCATATCTAAATGAATCTTCGTTTTTCCAAGTCCGACCAATAGGAAATTTCAGCGTAAGCTAATAACCAGCAGGTGGTTGGATGAAAAAGACCGCTTATTCTAGTAGTGAAAATAACCTTCCACACACAGATTAAGTTCAAATGACATAAGTATGCAACGAAAAACGAGAGGTGGGGCCGAAGAGTAAAACAGTAAAAATACAAGAATGTGTATAGAGCTGGATTTCATGATAAATAGAATCTCTCAAGACCTGAAAACTCACTATGGAACGAGGTAGCTCAAACCTATTAATAAGTTCTGTTCTGTCAAATAAAGTCAGTCTTTAGAAAGCTGTGCTCTACTTAAGTTTCCTGATTGTTGGCTGTCTGCAATAAATCACATGTGAACTAAGTGATAACATTAGTTTTTTCAAGATGACATATAGGTCTTGTTTATCGAAACCTAAGTCACGGACTACTCACAGATCGATTTCTCCGAAAATCATAGTGTTAATTAGGGGTATGTCACCAAGGTTTACGACTATCTTGATCGTCTGCTTAGTAGATTCCCATAAATATTTAAGACTAAACACTATGACTGATTACTACCTCGTGAGTGACTTGCACACAATCCATTTCTACAACAGGGTACTCTTAACCTGAACAGCTTTATGATAAATTTACCTAAATGAGTGATGTATGTTCACATCTGTGAGGACACATGAATTCTACGAAAATTCCACTGAGTGTTGATTCATAATGACTGATTTCCTTCAAAATCAAGCTTCCAGGGTTCTTGCACTGTGCCACAAAAAATAATGAGTAGTATTTTCCTCTCCTTTTGAAATAGTCCTTTGTGTGTCCCGTTAAACTTTTATAAACTTATTGTTTAATAATTCATCTGGTACTATGTTATGACACTTCAGTGAAAATAAAACAAATTACCTAGATACACATAGGTTATTATTTTAGTTTAGGGGTTATGTTATTTACAATAGATAAGAAGCATGATAGTGTCATTATTATTAAACCTAAGGACTGAGATGCCTGTAGGCAAATCAGATCCTTCAAACATGTTCTAAAGAAAACCAGGTATACTGCTATCCTAAGTTACTGACTAAATCGACATTTAAAGAAGCTGAATTTTAACTAGAAACACAATGGAAATATTAACGGAGCACTGAGCAATTAAAATAATTAGCTTTTGCATTTACTTTCTAGTGTTTTCTTAGAATGGACACGTATTCTTCGCCTCGTCTAACACTACTTTTCCTGGATCGTAATCAGACATTTTATTGCATATAAACCGATGCATAAAAGAATTTCATTTGTTTGTACATCTGTCTTAAAGTTGAGTACTTTAATCCATGAAAAATGAAAATGGGTTCAGTAGTAAATTTCTCATTCTGCAGAAGTGGTGACATTACTCGTTTTAGGTTTATTAACCCTTGTAGATTTATATCTTGTCCTATTCCACTATACACCGTAAACTCAAAAGCCAGATTTTATTTTCTTTACTACGAGTCAACTTAAGTATACTTCCACTGAGGGCTATTACATGTAAATTAGCTACTAGTCTGATATAAGTTTTAAGTTCATTAGAGCAGGAGGTTCATATCTACTGGTGACACTTTGTGTAAGATGATCAACCCGTTACAAGTGACATTGCCGTTTTAAAAAGCTAAAGGTTTATCATATGTAACACACTTCTCAGCCAATGAAGATTCGAAAGTTTATGAAATGATTGTTTCTCTTAGCATTTATTCAACCTGTGGTTTTGAGGAACGCAGAGAATACTCTTAGGATACCTATGGTAAAATAGTGTATGCTGTCTCAGTAACATTTTGATGAGTAGACCCATATTCCGTTCATTCGAGAGGCAACGTAAAGTGGTAAGTGACAGACAGGGTTCTGCGATTTCTTTAAAGGAATATTTTAAAGGAAAAAATTATTATGGATTATGAGATAAATCATTAGAAGTGTCGAAATTAGAAACTTACTGTATAAACTTTTATTACAAATACATTATTCATTTTCTATAGTTGCTTTGTGAGGATTAATTTTGTAAAACAATTCATTCCATAAAATGTTCGAGGGTTTATTTATGTTAAATTCAGAAACTACTGATATCTTTAGTCAGTAGGCGAAGAGTATGACTTCATTTATCCGTCCAGTTTAGGTTTGCGTGAGAATTCACTGTTAGACAGATAGGTATACGAACCATATAATATATACAGTTATACAGAAATGTGTTGCTGTGTATATGAACTGTCAAAAACAGAAATAAACATGGCGTAGTATAAGTGAATTAACTTGAAATATGATTCAATAATCCTCAAAAGTGTGGAACAGTTTTTGCACGTCTAAACTTATTATTCTGCCTCTTGTCTTCTTGTCTGTAAAGTGTTAACTGAGGTGCAGTTAGTGCCTGTTTACAACACATGCTTCTGAATATATTCCAAAAACTTTGTCTGAAATTTCTCAGAAATATTAAGTATACAAAGAAATTAACTGCATAGGTGATATCTTTAACAGAAGAGAGAAATCTGGACAAATCAATAATACACAGTGCATAGGGTTTATGTCTGTCCATATGGTTTAAAGTTTGGTTTAGACGAATCAACACAACACATACCATTGGCAAATACAGTAGCAAGAATGCTGTACTCAAAGCAAGGTGTCCGAACACTCGTCCCATTTCCATATGATTCCGTGAAGAATCCGTTGGTAGAAGAGCTCTTCGATTCGCTTTCAACTTCCATAATCGAATACAGATAAAAGTGTTTAAGAACAATACCAAGCAGAATGGTATTGTAAAAGTGATGATAGTTTCAAATGCTATCGTGAATTTTGCAACTGGATGTTCAGAAATCATTCGACATGTGAAATTTGTTCGACTTGACGGATCAACCACTAGAGTTTGCACAGACAACAAAGGTGTATTGCTGATTATTCCAACAAAGAAGACGATGATACACGCACTGAGTGCCCAGCGTTTATGAAATGTTGAATAGAATTTTATTGGTTGATGAATAGTCAACAGTCGGTCAATTGAAAAAATGACAATAAGATAAGATGATATGAAATACATTGCATTCGATATATACTCCACACATTTACACCAAAATTCTGATAACACATCGAGTTTGTAATACAAACGATGATTTGTTGCATGAGATAGTCCTCGTCCAAGGAAATCATCAATGAATGTGTTCACAGTTAATGTGGTAATATTTGCTACAGCTAAAGAGATAGCATAGAATGAAAATCTTGAATATGGCCGATCCTGAGCAAAAATAACTATTATGAAAATATTGCCTGTCACTCCGACGACAGCAATTATTGGGCATGCATAAGCGCGAAAATCTCCTACTAAGTAACTATAATCCGTTGTGTTACTGCAAATCATTTCAGTAGAATCAGTCAACAATGAATAGACACAATTTGTATAGTGATGCAGTTTGACAGTTTCATTTTCACTCACAGTTCAAATCTGTTCTGATTATCTCGACTATATAACTGTTTTTCATGTATGTACTTGAAAAGACAAAAAATTCTCCTTAGATTATCCAATAAGAATCGTCAAAATAATATCACACAATCAAAAGAAAGTTCATTATGAATCATCGATTAAATGCAAACTGAGTAGAACTCATTGAAAAATAAAATATATATACTTGTTCAGTTCGTATGACAAAGATGTATAATATCTTAAGTTCAAGATAAAACGATAGAAATAAATACTTGTAAAGTTCAAAGGTTATATTCCAGTGAAAACAAAACACATAGTTCAACCAAGAGTCTCTTTTCGGCGAATTCATTTACTTAGCTGTACAATCTGCAATTATATATATATACTTATTTTTGTATGTGTGTGTACTTTCGGTTTGTCTGATCACAACTCACTGATTAAACTATTCATCTTATTACGTAACTGTATTTATTACGCTTATTCAACTTCTTTTGTTGTTTCTTTTGACAACACATCACCACTACCCTTTCACCAATCTTCACCACCATTCCCCGCAGTTACAGTTTGATTACTCATTACATTTTTGAAATGTGTTGACAACAATGACCCTAACATATTCAGGTGTCGAAATACAGTTGTAGTTAAGGCTATGAAATGCAACTGAGGCTATTTCTATCAAAGGTATCATATATTGGACTCTGATGATGTAAGTGAATGAACACTATTAACTGGATTCATTAAAAACACATACTAATCAGATTATCGTTGTAATCATACACAGCTGATGAGCTTGATTTGAAGTAAACAGATCGGTATAAACTGGCCAGTCAATGTTGATTGATTTGTTTATTAATTTTTTAGTAAATCGATAATGCTTGTGTAGCATATTTCTTAGAATTCAAAGTGTATATATTTATTTCATTGGCAAAATAACTGAAGTCATCACATTCTGAAGGGAAAGAATGAACATTAGAGCAGAATAATGCGGGTCCACATCACTTTTAATGGTTTTCTTCATATGTGCACAATTTTTAAAATTTAATAAGACGAGTTATAGTAAAATTTTACAGTAAAATTTTAACAACGTCATAGTGAAATGGAACATAAGGATAACACGTTATCTTTAAGCATTACAATATATATATATATATATATATATATATATATATATATATTGACCATAGTTCCTCGTAAAAACTATTTTAAGGGGCAGTTTGATAGGTCAGAAAGAATTAGGCAACAAGACCGAATGAAATAAGATGAGAAGAACTCACAAGTTTATAATAAAATACAGTGCGTAGAACTTAGAGGACTGAAAATTAAAGTCCAGTATGAGATCCAAAAGAAAACGAAGAGACAAAATGATGAAGAGTAGGGCTATTTCGTCTGTTAATTACTTTCCATCTGAGTTGACTACCTATTTATTTGTTTCTAAGATGAAAATTTCCACATTTAATCTCTTGAATGGTCTTCAATGATTACTTATGTTTCAACGCAAGGATCTATATAGTTAAGACCTTATGGGTTAGTGTGTGGTAGGCAACAGTCACCTAGACGCCTGTCGACCATTTTCGTACAACTTAGGGGTTCGACTCGATGGAAGAAAGCATACCCTGCATTCTAAATCCTCGTTTTTGATGATTTGTTAAAAAATGTTACAAAAGGAAGAGCTCAATAAATAATTAAGTCAAGAGATTTTGATCCATGTTGAGAAAAAATACAAGTGCATAAAGAGAAAAGTAGCGAATTGATTCTCCTAAATGTCCTGAAAATTGGACATCACCGATAAGATTCCCGTCAAATACAGGACAGTATTTAGACAATTTTCAACTTACTGCTTTTCGTGTCATTCAGTCTCATGGTTCTACCCTCACGGTAGAAAACTTTAGAATAGTTGTTATCTGGTTGATAAGATGAAAATGTAAGTCCACTGTAAGGTAATGGTTGTGCATTTCATATACTAAAATATACTAGCCTTATTAAACGTACAATGCCTAATCGCCCATTCAATCGGTGTATTACCTGACTTGTAATTACTCATAAAAAACGCGAATCGAAAAGACAGTTATTACGAAATGCACTCTAATGAGCTATATGTTTAAATAGAATAAAATATTGAGGTTATATAGGGTAAAGATTTCTGAACTTGTCTGGTTAAAGAGGCTGAACTAAGGACCGTGGGTATGTGAGTAATATCAGCGCAAAATAAAACCACAGAATGTCGTCCGAATCTGGTTAGATGCCTACCCGTTGAAAAAAATTAAATAATCTAAAATATCAGCAAGCGAGCTAGGCGTTTATCTAGATAATGTTAAATTGATTCATGTTGATCTATTCATTTTAGTCATAGGTTTATTTTGGTGCGATAGAGCACTTTCTAGATTTGTAAGCATAAACTGACATCTTCGCCTAGTGAAAACTGCCCTATGCTTAAGACAACACATCAGAGAATTTCCCCCTATTAAATTAAATCTCATCCTCTGCAAACATCCAGATTAAGTATACAATTGCTGGATGGTGGCTAGCAGTAGAATCCAGGATGCGCATTTCGTCCAATTTGGGACTCGTCAGCTGGATGTACCTGCATTTGTCAGTGAGTGATTATGTTCCCACCGAGGCTCGAACCCAGTACCCATAGTTTCAAACGCCAAAGCGTTATCCACTAGTCCACTTGGGCCACGAGAGCCACATCTAGTGCAACGGGTCATAGTAACTATTGAATTGAATTTTTGATTTTCCCATCCATATTAAGGTTACAGAAGACTGAATAACCTGCCCAATTCCATCTGCATCTGTCAGTTTAATCGCTTCTGTGGAGCCAGTTCCATAGAATGTGAAATGAGGCAGGTTTATGGTGAAACCTCTGATTACCAGTCATTATGGAGTACAAAATCACAAAGTAGTTTTCTACTTTCACACATGGTTAACTTTGGACTATATAACGAAGGGATTATTTTTCTATTCGCGAAGATGAAAAACTAGCAGTTATATTTTTGCTCAGTCTTGTTGACTCACTGTACATTCAACTTATCAAGCGAAGCTGTGCCAAATAAAGTTCGATGTCATCGGTAATAACTTGAGATAATAACACTTTTCACTATTAATTGTTCCTTGAGTTTTGAGAAGCTCGCTGTCAGAGTTCCTTGTTGTTTACCCTATATGACCAGACGTTGGATTTTCAGTGCTGAGAAAAGCAGCTGTTGATGAAGACTTCCAGTCTGTCGGAAACGCTTTGGATGACGCTCACTCCAAATCGCTGGGTCATTTCTTTATCATCTCTGAAGTGACCTAATGTTTTGCTCAGAATTGACAGAAGTATGATGTTATACCAGTTGTTGCGTGAACATAAGTCGAACTTCTTTGACACTAAAGTGTCAAGGTAGACTTTCTGCAACTAGCAGATACACTTTCCCCCTACCAAGTCTTCTGCAATAGCCATGTGAGCATATCCGCTGAGGTCTTCTCTGTCCATGACTACTGTTGTTCTTCCTTTATTATTATTCCTCCAACATTAAGATCTGCGATTTTGGATGATCTACATTCTGCTCATCTAGGAGCTGATAAGATGAAATCATTAGCACGCCTAACATGCTGGTGGCCGGAAATTGATGCTGACATTAACAAAAGATCAAAGAGCTGTTCTAGCTGTTTACATATAATGTCCTATGGGAAGTCATCGTGGACACCGTGGCCTGCATCTTGTGAGGATTGGCAGCGTATTCATGCAGATTACTGTGGTCCATTCTTAAATTCATATTATGCTTTAGTTATTGTGGATTCTTATTCTAGATGGCCAGAAGTCATCATTACAGATAGTCCTAATGCCAAATTCACTCACAGAGCGTTGAGAAAGATTTTTAGTCGAGAAGGAATTCCAGATGTCTTAGTTACTGACAATGGTACTCATTTTACGGAGAAGAACTTCAATGATTGGCTCAAACATATAGGTTGTCGTCATTTGTACACAGCACCAGGTCATCCTCAGTCAAACGGGTTGGCAGAAAATTTTGTACGAACATTAAAGAGTGCTATAGCATCAATGAGTCCTCAAAATTTTGATGAGCTAGAGAGATGTGTGGATAACTTCTTACTTCAATATCGCAATGCGGAGCATACAAGTACTCATGAAAGTCCTGCAAAACTATTTAAATCTCTAATTCTCAGAAAGCATCTGATGTCCACGACTTCTGATGTACATTATTACAGAGGGAATGATTATAGACCTTCTATCGGTATCATACTACAAAGAATGGGAAATCGAATGGTGAAGATATTAGACATTGAAGATAATTCAGTTCATAACAGACACTTGGATCAAGTGAGAATAAATGAGGTAGGTCGTTCCGATTATGATTATAATGACTCTGCTACTAATCCTGACATTGTAGATAATTTAGAAATAAGTCTAGATGATACTGATGGAAATGATATCACAGAATCAGTTAGAAGATCGCAGAGACTGGCAAGCGAACCGCGATATCATTATAAATACGGAAGGAGACATTCGACGTGTGGCGGATGTGGTGATTGACAATTTCTATCTCTGTATTGTTTAAATACTTACTGTTGATTGTTAATATGTTTCTTATATGAATGGCATAATAATTCCGCTAAATACAAATTCCTGAGTTCTGCCCTCTCTGTGTTTTGTTTGCATTCTTGTAATTCGGTCATCTTGAAATACTAATATTACGATTACACTAAATTACTATAATGACATAGGACAGAAAATGATCCAGTTCAGAGATGAACGACAAAAAGAAGAGGCTGAATACAACCTAGAAAGCACTGGACGAAGGAGGGAAGGGAGTTAG